AATTCCCTCACCCTCTCTTACTGTGCGCTTTGTTGGACATGTGACGCTGTAAACATCCTAAATCAGGTTATTGTCTGTGTTGAGATACGTATCTGTGTAATTAAAAAGACAGTGAAATATGACTAGTCTCTCAATTCGTGTATTTTTAATATAGAAAAACTTTCTCCACAAAATGTCATTTTCTTAAAAGCTGGAATGTGATGTATGCCTGTGTCCATTTATCAAAGGCGGTCCCCAATGAGGTACAATTGAAACCATGTTTATAAGTTTATAGACATCAGTTAAAAGTGTGAAATCTCACCCGTCATAAGAAGGAACATACATGCTGATGTCTTGGCAGCTATCTGTCAATCCCATTGGTCATTGAGCAGCATTCCTAGTCAAAGAATCCCACAGGAATCCTAGCAAGACATTATTCCAATACCATGAAAGTATGTCAAAATACAAAATGACAAAACTTAATAAGAATACTCTACACATTCCTACAAGAGTTTATTTGACTATGCAGGTATTCTTTTTGACTATTTTGACTAAGGTTATTTGGTAACTTCATCCTTTAGGAATTTTTTTATTTTATTTTATTATTATACATTTTTTTTAACAGTCAGCTTTCAACAACATAAGGTGCATTAGTCTATCCTTTTTAATCGGTACATCCATTTAATTGGTACATCCAGGGCCGAACTGGAACGCAATTTCAGGCCGGGAAATCTCACACGCATCCAGGCCACACAGAGAAAAAAAAGGGCCAAAGTTGTACCTTTTGGGGTAGTAAACCTAGCAGTACACCGTACATATTAGTACCTTAAGAGTAGTAATTCGTACCCTTAAGGTACTAATTTGTAGGCCTACCTATTAGGGGTAAAAAAGGAACAAATATGTCCTTTTAAGGGTCCTGTTCCAGTGACAAGCTGTTGTACCCCAAAAGGTGTAATTTTGGCCCCTTATTTCCTGTATATAGCCTATACATCCACAACAATTTCTGAAACCAGACAACCCTATTATTTGTATGGCCATCACATAAAAAAGGTCTAAATCCTTAGTCTGGGGCTGTGGAAAATAATTAAAGGGGTCATATGATGCGATTTCAATTTTTCCTTTCTCTTTGGAGTGTTACAAGCTCTTGGTGCATAAAGAAGATCTGTAAAGTTGCAAAGACTAAAGTCTCGAATCCAAAGAGATATTCTTTATAAAAGTTAAGAGTCAGCCACACCTACCAAAAATGGCTCGTTCTAACACGCCCCCACATGTCTACGTCACGATGTGGGAAGATTTGCATAACGCTGCCCAAATGTTCACGAAAAGAAAGAAGGAGTAACTTTTATTCTAGCTGTAGTATTGTTGCTGCCGCTGCCATGTCGTGAAGGCGCTGTGTGCTTCGTTGTGAAAGCGAAACTACTTTGTTTGGTCTTCCAAAAGAGGACATCTCTTCCTCATGCCTGGAGCTGATCCGTGCTGGTCGCTGAGGAAATACATTAACTTCACGCTGTCGATCGCCGGATCGGCTTTCAACGTGGACGAAGCGGAGTCCAGCCCGGGGTCGTCACAATATGGTGAGGGGCGTAACATTTCCATCACACGCTTGAGGAATTCGGCCAATCACAACGCACTGGATAGCTGGCCAATTAGAGCACACCTCGCTTTTTCAGATCAATAAGCTTTGTAAAAATCGAAGCGTTTCAGAAAGGCGGGGCATAGAGGAGAAACAATAATGTACAGTATGTGGAAAATAATGTGTTTTTTGAACCATAAACACATTTCATTACACCAAATACACAAAATAATGTTCTTATTAGCAGCATCATATGACCCCTTTAAAGGTTCTCTCTTGCACTGCACCTTCACTTCCATTTCCCGTCACTTCACTCTTTAAAATAATTGCTTTCGATTGGAATATATATTTAAAATGTAATTTATTCCTGTGATCATTATTACTCAGTGTCACGTGATCCTTCAGTAATCATTCTAATTTGCTGTTCAAGAAACATATTTCTATTTCAGATAAATGCTGTTCTTCTGAATTTCTATTCATCAAAGAAACCTGAAAAAAAGATCTAAACTGTTTTCAACATAATCATAATCAGAAATGTTTCTTGAGCAGCAAATAAGCATATAATGATTTCTGAAGGATCATGTGGCACTGAAGAATGGAGTAATGATGCTGAAAATTCAGCTTTGAAATCACATGAATAAATTACATTGTAATACAAATATTTCACAATACTACTGTTTTTGCTGTATTTTGGATCAAATAAATGAAGGCTTGGTGAGCAGAAGAGACTTCTTTAAAAAACATTACAAATCTTACTGATCAAAACCTTTTGACTGGTAGTGTATTACAACACAATTTCTAAAGTGCCTAAATGTCAAAATTAGTACAATATATTTGTTGAAAAAGTCTAATACACTATTGAATTTACTTGAGTATTGTACTTAAGTACACTTTTTGAGTATCTGTACTTTACTTGATTATTATTTTTTCTGGGAACTTATGACTTTAACTTCACTACATTTGAAAGACAAATATTGTACTTTTCACTCCACTACATTTCTATCAAGGTCCTCAAAGTAGAAAGTCGTTACTATGCAGCAGCTTTGAAAGTCAGTAGGTGATTTTTTTCTTCTCTAAAACGTGACTTTCTTTTTTTTCAGACAGTTTATCAGTAATCACTCTTGCAGGGCTACATGAAGTGATTTCCCAGCATTTTTTGAACACTGACCAGTTGCAAATGTGATATTTATTTACAACAATTCAATAATAGGAAGTTAATATTGTGTATATATTAGACACAATATTGTCTGATTTTGCTAAATTGTGTAAGTGAAAATATTACCTATAAAGCCACAGAAGAACTGTTGTGCGTCTCCTAATAAAACACAATAGGTGTTGGACTTGAAGCAGCACTGCACAGACTGTTCTGTGTGTGACATCAAAGTACCGCGAGAGCAGTTAGACAGCATTTAAAATGTTTGTTTTAATGTCAAATAAGTTTTGCTGTTTTGCTTTTTTGTTAAAGCAGTGTTGCTGTTGTAAAGTTATACAGCTACAGTTGTGTTGCTGGATTTTAAAGCAGGTTCGATTTTTTTTTTCTTCCTTATCAGTCTGTATTTACAGGATTTCACTGTCCACTCTGTTCAAATGTGGATGAAGGGCTACACATAGATGTGTGCACACACTGTCAGAGCTGTGTGAGATCACTACCATCCTGCTTTTGTGGGGGTGGGTAGGGGTGTTAAATATTTTTTTTTTGTTTTGTTGTTTTCTCCATAGGTTTTTAACATTCTAAAAGCTCTATATTTCAAATATACTACAAGCTAGTCAGTGTATTCAGCAGGTGTAATGTATTCTAAGTTGTTTCAGAAGTATTGCAAGTATTACGTACAACAATAAAACAGTGCATTGACATAAAAAAGGAAATGTACTTTTGGTACTTAAGTACTTTTAAAAGCAAGTACTTCTGTACGTTTACTCAAGTAAAAATCTGTCTTTACAACTTTTACTTGTAATGGAGTAATGTTTGACCAGCAGTATCTGTACTTTCACTCAAGTAATGGAGTTGAGTACTTTGTCCGCCTCTGGTCAAGACTGACCGATTTCTGATTTATTATCAATGAAAAAAATCGGAAATGATCACTTTGGTACATTGAGAAGGCATAAATATAAAATAATAATAATAACCAAAAAAAAAAAAAAAGGGCAGCGGGCCAAATCAGCTGCAAGGCCACAGGGAATTTTTCCGGTGCTCCCGATGGTCAGTCTGGGCCTGGGTACATCATAAAGATCCAATAAAAGTAGAGTTTTAATAAAGATTACACAATATCTAATGGGACTTGTTTTAGATTACGGCGCAGATCTTACTGGATTTTTAGAGGATTGTTATTTGATTCAATTAGGATTGGAATATCAATGTACATCCCTTCATGATTTTTTAAACCTCATCATTTTTTAAACATCATTTAGAGGAAAATAATTACCTCAAATCTCAATATATATAGAAAAACCAGCGAGGATCCACTTGGTAAAGTTGTACAAACTGAGGAAAAAAATATGTATTGTATTATGTCTGTTTACTCCGCTGTGAACAATAATAGCTATGTGGTGGGAAAAATCGTTAGATATCACTATTAGGCGAATATCAGGGACGTTTCACATATGGACATGGCGGATCAAATTGTCAATATCAGAATCCACATGACTTAAATCAATTATAAGATTATCATTCGCCTTTTCATCGCATCTTTAAAAAATGTGTAAGCGCGCTAATGGGAATCAATGTTTTGTTTTGTATTAGGAGAATTAAGTTCTTTGTATTGCACAATTGATCAATACTGTGAAATCGAGACGCACATTCACATATATAGGCCTACCTTACTGCAGTTTTTTGTCAGTTTGTCATTCTCATTGAGAATTATCACACAAAGTCGTTGGCAGTTTGGTAACGCGGCATTAAGGATTGTTAAATGTTTTATTGCACTCTACAAACCAATCGTTATTAAACATTAATTATGTTAAACATTTAAAATAAATGGTTTTATTTCTATACATATAGGAGATAATATTTTAATAACTCTTAATAAGCATTTTTCCCCCCTCTCTCAGTTCATTTAAAGGGACAGATTACCCCAAAATTATTTTAGGACATCGAAATGAAGTTTTATAAGTTTTGCCATTGTTCTTTTGTGTTCCTCAGAAGAAAAAAAGAAAAAAAAAGTAAATAAAAATAACAGCATTCAACTAATAAATAATGAGTCATTTTTCATTTTTGGGTGAACTGTTATTTTTAAATAGTCCTGTAAACAATTTTTTTAAAGTAGTGTCAAAGTTAATATGTGGTCACAGGGGAAAAAATCATACACAAAGTTTAAAATGTCATCCTGCAAGAGATGTCATGTCATCTACCCATGCATTTTTTTTTCTTCTTTGTACATAAGGAGCTGTTTGTGTGAAAAATCATCTTGTTCCTTCAGGAGCTGGATGCAATTCAACTCGTGTGCTGGAAATGGATGAGTCTGACATGCAGTATGAGGTAGAGAGACCGCTTCCCTACAGCCCTCAGGCAGGTGAGCAGCCAGCTGGCCCACACCTGAGCCCATCTGCTGGGCCACAGTGTCTTATCACTGCCCAATGAGGCATGCCCCAGAAGGGCTGTCCTACAGCCCTGCATGTAGTCTTATCTAAGGACATCTCTGCTTGCGCAGGGACAGCCTTCTGTGACAAGTGTGAACCCTAGTTAAATGTGCCAATGACACATTTGCAGAGTTCCTGGACAGTACTTGAAATTTAGACTTAAACGTGTACTATATGTACAACCTAGAAGAGTGTTATCTGTCTGTTATCATGCCATGCTCCAATGGCAAAAACATTGACTTGGCTGATTAATGAAACTCTGAATTGTGTAGGGCAGACTGCAGTTTTCAACAGTTTTCTGGTTGAAAGTTCTAGGTTCTAGTTTTCTCGATTTTTAACCATAGTAGTTAGGTTAGTTTTCTGTCCATTTCAGTATGAAGTCTTGACTGAAAGCTATTGAACATGTCTGTCATCATGAACCACTGAAAAAAAAAAGATACAGTTAATTTAACGCAATGAAAGCATTGTTTTTAAATAATGTGAGATAACGTGAGAAAATCAAACAGTTGTTTTGCCCACCAAAATGAATTAATTGCATGATATTAAAATGAATAAAGGACTTCACTGTTAATATTTTTGGTTAAAATTATAAAGTACACCAGTGCTTATGTAGTTTTATTGGATGCACTTATTTACCCAAATAGCTGTTGCAAAAATATTAGAATTACACTCAATAAAATATATTTTTTTGGGGGGGGGGGGCAAATTATTAATTCTTCCATGGCATCACTGTGAAACCCTATTTTAGAACCTTTATTTTTAGATGCATTTGGACGATTTAATTAACAAATATTCTAATTTAGGCCATTTTTACACTAGTGTTTAAAACCAACACAAATATAGCCTTGGTTACTGAATTATATGGCCTAAATATAGCACTAGCCCTGGACCTCCCTATCATGTTTCACCTTAAATGTTCATTATTTAAAATGTTAATATTTTATATGATTATAATTAACTTCGTAATCTTGCCTTCCTCAGGATTATTCTTCAGTATGCAGAGAAAATGGATTCTGATAGATCTATCTATCTATGTGGGGAATGTAAGCCTCTTACGTTCTTTAGATTTTCTTTGCCAAGTAGTTATTGCAATAAGTAGAAACAGATTTGAACTTTATGATTGGTATTTTATTTTAATCATGTATTACATGATTCCATTATTTGTAGTGTATGTTTATGGAACACTACAAGCAGTATTGATTGACTTACAGGTGGATTATGGAGCAACTGCAGACGAACTGGAGATGTACTGTGGCCATGTTAACAGAGTTACAATACCGTATAATAGATTCACTGGCCATCCAAAAGGGTATGTACCAAACTGGCTCTAAAACAAACATATATTTTAATATCAAGCATGTTTTATGAGTAGATTTTCCTTGTAGTTTTGCCAACATTGAATTCTCAGAGAGGGAGTCTGTGAGGACTGCCATGACTTTAGATGAAACACTATTCAGAGGACGTGTCATTAAGGTGAGATGGAAATGTACAGCAATGGCATATGGTTATGCATTACATGGCAATGAGGCTACATTCACACCACATATTTTTATTTTATTTTACAATTACAGGAGTACACCATCTTTTAATAATGTTTTTGTTTAAAAATTAAATATGAGGAAAAATATATAAAACTTTAATCACTGACTTCCTAAAATTGCATATATTTAATATAATACAAAATAACATGAACTGAAAATCAGAATTGGGCACTTTTGCTTGTGGTGTGAACATAGCCATGGTGTCTCTGTGTTGGTTTGTTTGTCATGAATCATTATGGATGAAAATCTGTGACAGAAAACCAACTCACATCAAACTCTTTGTGAACTAGGTATTGCCAAAAAGAACAAATATTCCAGGTTTCAGGACTACAGACACAAACATGCGTGGAGGTTGGTCCCGAGGACGAGGTTTCCGTGCCTCGAGATTTTACAACCCGTTCAGGGGCTGCCACTTCATTAGGTCAGTTCTGCCAATACATAACAGCACATCACACGATATGGAGCTTTAATTATTTTAGAGCAGCAGTGGTCCATGACCTTGCACTTTTCAAATATGATGATTCAATAACCTTAGTGGCGATCTCATAACATTGCAACTTAAACTAAAACAAAAATATTAATAAATGAAAATGTTGCTTTCAGATTTGTGAAGACTAAAATTATTGCAATATTTCAGTGACCTTAGTGGTATCTTAACATTTATATTTGATTTTTTTGCAAATGTGACATTTGTACATCCATACTTGTAAATCCATCATTTGGAGGGGTTTTTTTCAGTTGTTCTAAAACTGTCATTTTTGTTTTAGGGAAAATGGAAGAGCTCATCCTTGGGTTGATTCTTTTTGATATTAATTTGACTTTTCTGTTATCTTCAAAGCACTTCTTGGTGCTGATTAATTTATGTTTCAGTAATTGCATAACGGGAGCTCAGTTAATATTTTGTGTGTGTGTGTGTGTGTGTAGCTTGAATGACACTACAAAAACGGAGACTTGATTTATATTGACTGGTTACTATTTTATTTGTATATTTTATTCCATTTCTTTAAAATACTATGCCTGTGAGAGGCTGAGATGTCTTGTGAATTTCAGTACTTTGAATTTTTCAGTGCTTAAATTTGTCAAATTGGTGTAAATAAAATCAATATTATCATGATGAAACAAAAATGAAATTTATTTTCACCTTACAAACGTGCAAACAATACATAATAGACACCTGATGTAAATATATACAATTGTGAAGAGAGGACATCAGCAGGCCTGCACCATCATAGTTGAAACTATACTGTCAAAAGCCCTGAGGAGAGAAAAATATTACATTAGCGGATCAGTTGTAACACACAGCAAATACTCCAAATGTATGTATTCACTAAATGCACTTACTTTGATTGAATTGGATCACCAGGATTGTAGAATGGGTTACACATTACATCAGTGAAGGAGTTGTGTAACTTTCTGAACATCTGAACAAAGACAAAAAGCTCATTACACCCATCTGATTGACATCTCACCTTTGTTGTTAAACTGACACAATACACCTATAGAACTTACACTTCTAATTTCGTTGTCTCGCAGAGATGTGTTGGAAGAGTCAACAACAATCACAAACTTCACCTTAGAGTTTGTCACGTAGCCATATCTGTAATTCTTGTTAAGATGATGATATTTTAATAATGACTGAAAATGTTATGCATTAGAAAGCTTTCGGTCTTAAAGGGAAGTAAACTCAAAAATGAAAATTGTCATGTTACACACCTGTATGCATTTCTTTCTTCTGTGGAACACAATGCATAACAATGCATTGTTATACCAATTCATAACATTGGTATTTCAAATGTTAGTAACAGAAATTTAAAAGTTCACTTCAATTGTGTGGACAACCATTGACATTTCGCAAAATATCTTCTTTTATGTTCCACAGAAGAAAGTCAGTCATTCTGTTTTGGTTAAGAATTAGTGGTCAACTGATACGAGTTCCTCAGTAGCTGTTGTTGATATCCGAAGAGCAGTATGGCTAATAATTCCTATAAATACATGTAATTTAATGATAGCAAATAGGGCTGCACGATTATGACACAAATCATAATTGCGGATTATTCCCTTGAAATTGTAATTGTGATTATTAATTACGATTATCACAATTTACATTGATGTTTATACCATTTAGGGCTGTCGCGGTGAGGGAATTTCCCTTGCGGTAATTTTGAGTGTCTCAATAGCATGGTATGCGGTATTATCGCCATGCATACACATCTCTATCTCTATATATACAGTGGGTACGGGGAAGTGAAGTAAACAGAAGAGAATGACAAAATAACGGTCCACATTACAGAACATGAACCTGACAATAAGATCGTTAGGCTATAGTTAGCCTATGTATAACAGTTAGTTCTGATCTGATCTTCTAATCTGACTGGACAAGAGACTTTCTATTGATATTTCCACCTGTGCGCGTGCATTCTAGACGGGCTGTCAGTCAGTGCAGTAACAGTGTTGCGCCACAAGGGACTGTCATTCAACTACACGTTCAAAAACGCGCTGTTGAAATAATTTTAACTTTGAGCGCCACTTTAGAAGGCTCAGCTGACCAGCTATGCGTCGGTGCTAAGAAAGAGATTTCGCTTTCCTTGGACATGACAACCTATTTTCACAAATATATATGACTCGGCCTGGAGGACAAACGCAAGTAATCGCACACGCTCAGTCGATCTCTCTCTCATTCAGTGTCTGTTTAGGCTTGCTAAGTGCAAATCTACGAAGCCTCTGTACAAATCAGCATGGTACACATTGTTATCATTACTAACTTGTTGAAGTGTAAAAGAGCATAACCTTACAAAAAAAGAAAACGCGCAAAAATCACGGTTGCTGCGGTTCTTGCATTCGCGGTATTGCGATATTGCGGTTATCACAACAGCCCTAATACCATTGTTTGATGCAACTGCATGCCACATTTTTATGTGAAAATAAGCTGAAAACACTAACTGAAAAACTTTGTGCTTTTCTGTAGTATTAAGCCTTAAATGTCAACTATACATCGGATTGGTTTCTTCTTTAAATTATGAAAAAGTAAAAATATGAATGGTATTATAATGTTATACTAAAACTAAACTTAAAATAATGGGAAAAACTCAAGATAACATGTAGCGCGAAAGAAAGAAAAAACGCATCTTAAGCACGCAGAATAACATATGTGGACTTTGAACTATTAATTGCCGCTTTGAACGGTTACATAATTGTGGCATCCATAATTGTGATTAGAAATTCGATTAATTGTGCAGCCCTAATAGCAAATTAGACAAGGCTGTCGTTAGATGGAAAATGACACAATTGTTGGTCATTGTGATAATCCCAAAATGGTCAAATATCGACTGATATATCAGTCCATCACTATTAAAGTCACCATGAAATCAAAATTGACAATGTTGGAATACTGCAGTGTTCACATGATGAATTTATACGTGCACATAATTTTTTTTTTGAAACCCTCATAATATTTAATCAAAAACATTAACTTCCACTTCCCCTCTCAACATCTCTAATGTCGCAAATGTATTAAACGACAACAATCCATCAATCCAATCAATTTCTGATGGACAAAATCAAGTCTGGCCCTGCATTTTTTTTCCTCATTTGACAAGACGGATATACATCACAATAAGGAAGAAAAGACAACCACAACACCCGTTTCATGCCGACTTCAAGGATACACTTTGTAGTCCTCAGTTGGATATAGCAGTCCCAGATAAAGCTCCCTCTGGTCGGCCAAGGCTTTGCCCACACCAGAGATCTTCTCCTCCACCACGTCCAGAGAAGTGTGCACGGTGTAGTGGAACTTGAGTTCCCCCTGTGTAGGAACGCTCCGAATGTACAGTGGATAGTTCTGCAGAGATCAACGTAATGCTAGAGGCAAGTTTGCCATTACAGGAAACACAATTTCAGCTTGTAATTTTATTACAACTTAATGTGCATAAATTTAGAAATAAACATGAACTAGACTAAAATAATCTGTTCACTTGCAATAGAGTTGATCAATGCATAAATCATGCTAATGCTACCTTAGACCATGGTTTTCCAAATGGCAATGTTCAATCATTTACAGAACATGTCTAATTTTTAAAGAATCCATAAGATGTTATAAGACATTTCAGCTTATACGTATTAAGTTGTGTGTAAAAATATAATGCATTTACTCCAAAATAAATAAACGACTACGAGGTAAGTAAGTATTCATTTTAATGGATGTTAAACGACAGAACCAATATTACCTGAATCAGCAGGTTATCATTCAATTTTCATTTATTCAAGGGCTTTCTAAAATACTTAATTCTGATTAGCCAATCACAGCCAAACCTTTTTGAATGATGACTAATGTCCAGAGCAACACTGGACCAATGATTGCTCATCCAGAAAGTGTTTTTTATCTTTCTGCAGTCAATACAAGAAAGCTAATAAAATAAACTCTACCAGTATTACTGTCTACATTTATTTAAGTAGCTGTATTATAAGCAGGATGAGGTACCTTCAGCTAGGCATCATCACAATATTTTTATTGTTCATCTTCAATATCAGAAATCTAATAGCTGACCAGATGATAACTCATAAAGACTGGACTCAAAGATTGCACAAAATAGGACTTAACCAATACATTGTCGGTTACGTTTTGAGTGGTTTTGTGTAGTTATGTATTTCTGTAATTTTAATTAATGTGAAGGGGGTGTGTCAATTATTTCGAATTGTAAATTAACTGTATGATGTCGTCCCCGCATGCTGTCGCAATTCATCCGGTAGTGTGGTAGATTGCAACAGCACTCTTTAACACAGTTTCGAAGACATTGTAGATTTCTAAACAAACTTTCATTTATAACGCACATATGGGAATGCAAAAACAAACCCTCCCCGCTCTCCCATGACACAAGCATCGTTCAAAACAATGTAGGTTTGCAAAACAAAAAAGTAAAACATATTTCATATCATACTGCACTTGTGCCATTTCAATGTATTTATATTAAACCGTAAAAACCATGCAAGTAAATATATTCGCACGCATATGAATGTTGCTACACAGCCCTGATCGCGACACAAATTAGAAACTCATCAATCCATCAAAATCTGATGAATCCAGCACGTCGGATCTCAGATGCCTTCAACCATTACCAAGAAATCATTTGCTGCACCACAAAAGCATTAAATGTTTACACTTACCTCCTTCGCAATGACTGCTATACACACCGCCATGATGACGCTACAAACACCGGTCACGTGACACGCAAAGTCACATGATTCATGGTTTCGTGGCGCTTGTGATTGTGTGCAATACTTCTCGTGATTCGAACAAACACGCTTTCGCTTTGCAGCGTTGAATGTTTAGGACGGTAAATGCACCAGACGTTGGTTTGCCATCAACAAAAATAATAATAATAATGCGTACAATATGCATTGAATTGGACGAATAACCTTTGTTAGCGAGTAATTGTGTAGGTTCTGATACCTACACACGCAAATGTTGCAAGACAGAACCAATCAATCACAGAGAGCGTTCCCTCACTTCTGACAGTGCATTCAAACAGGGCTGCGTTTCCCAAAAGTATCATAAGAAAGCATTAAAGCACTGATCAATGCTTATCAGAGGACAGAAAAAAATTATTTCACAATAAACAAATTGAAATTGTAGCCTACGCAGTTTGTGCAATTACAGTTATTTCAATCGAACGTTGAAAGATAATATTGATCATGTTCTATTCTGTAATGTTAATACAAATCATACACTGTCAGAATAAAAAGGTTGCATTTTATGCATGCAACAGCCATTCACTGGCAGTCCCTAATGGCAGTACAAAATATTGCACTAAATCAAAAGTTCAAATGTTACAAATAAGTTAGAATATTAATGTTGTAATACTGGTAGCACTAATATAAAAATGTGTTGATATATGTAACAAAAAAATAAAAATTTTGAAATACGTTGATGGTTGTATTTTTTTGTATTTGATCTCAGTAACCAGTTATCAATGTTGTATAAGGGTTTTTGATGCATAATAGTAACCCTAGAATGTGATCAAACAGTTTAAAATAGCTGGGCTAAG